CAATCTGCCAACAGCACAGACCAACCCTGAGTCCGTGATATGGAACCATTCCTCAGGGTGATTAGCCAGCAATGTGGTGGCAGGTTGATTACATTGGACCACTTCCATCATGCTGACTACAACCTTCCATGAGTGAGCAGCCCACCGCTCAGCCTGGAGATCTTGGATTCGTCTTTCGTTGGAGTCAACAACCAGTGTACTACCTGCAAGCCTTGAATTTCTCGGCCCCCTGCACTTGCGGAAGCTAAGGCTGCCTCTAGCCCGACATTTCCTCCAGGGACTTAGGACTTGCCAGCTTCTATATGTTTGTGAGCCATTTTCCTAAGATAAATTTTTTTTTCTCCCTCTCTCTCTCTATATATACACTTTGCTGGTTTTTGTGTTTCTCTAGAGATTCCAATCTAACACATAGACTATCAAGCATAACCCAAAATTCACCAACAGCAGACCAACTAGGTGAATGGACTTTCTAACTTTAAATTTTTCTAACTTTAAGTTTTGACTCTCCGAAAGAGTCAAAAGAGAACCTACAGATAGGGAAAAAAATACTCGGCAATGACATATCTGACAAGGGACTTGTCTCTAAAATTTATTGAAAACTCCAGCACCTCAGCAACAAAAAGACAAATAATCCAATTAAAAAATGAGCAGTAGACATGAAAAGACACTTCACCAAAGAGGATATTCAGGGGGCCAATAAACATATGAAGAAATGCTCCCAATCATTAGCCATTACAGAGATGCAAATCAGAACAACAGTGAGATACCATCTTGCCCCAACACTAGAAGCACAGTTCAACAAGACAGAAATTAACACATGCTGGCGAGGGTGCTGAAAGATTGGGACTCACATATGCTGCTGGTAGGACTGACTCAAATGATACAACCACAGTGGAAAGCAGTATGGCAATTCCTCAAAAAGTTAAAAGTAGAAGTACCATTTGACCCAGCAATTCCATTACTAGGTATATATCCTAAAGAAGTTAGAGCCAGGACAAGAACAGATATATGCACACCCATCTTCATTGCAGCACTATTTACAGTAACAAAAAAGATGGAAACAACCTAGGTGCCCATCAACAGAAGAATGCATAACCAAACTATGGTACATACACACAGTGGAATACTGTGCAACCCTAAAGAATAATGTAGAATCTGCAAAACACCACATAACGTGGATGAACTTGGAGGACATTGTGCTGAGTGAAATAAGTCAATCACTGAAGGAGAAATATTGTCTTAGTCCATTATGTAAAAAGTCAAGGAAAGGTTCATATATGGAAGGAAATTTTCTTTACTGATTACCAGGAGTGGGAGGGGAGGGAAGGTAACCCTGTTAAATAGGTAAAGACAAGTATTGATTTGGGTGAAGAGAAGGGCAGTATACCAAATGTGAGTGATCAACACGGTGGCATGGAGGAAGAGGAAGACATGCAGAGGTACATGGGAGGTATAGACAACAAAGATGAACCCTTTTGCACATGCAGTACTGCATTGTCAGTAAAGGCAAATGTGGATATACGGGTGGATAGATGGGTGGACAGGCTGAACTATTAAATATGTACATGCAGGGAGGAGTGTGCCCAAGACCATGTATACGGTTGGCAGACAATATTTCTACAAGTGTATTTGCATGTTCTGTAAGACTTCCCAGGTATATACTAGAGTTGACAAGAGACAAGGTTGTAGTCATTTCTTGGCCACAGCTACCTATCCAGAGGGAGCAAGTAGTTGGACCTGTTGGCTTGGTTCCATAGTTGCAGAGGACATCAAGCTTAGTCGGCATAACATACTACAGAAAACATTGTTCCACATCCTACTTTGGTGAGTAGCGACTGGGTTCTTAAAAGCTTGCAAGTGGCCATCTGGATCCAACGATAGGTCTCTCCTCTTCGTTCTTCAGTGATACCATGTGAGGTAGGTCATTTTGCCCTTGTAGATGAGACTTGCAGAGGTGTAGATGGCTTTCTTTGGCTGGGTTCTTTGTGCAAGTGACAGAAACAGACTCTGGACACCTTAAGCAAAATTATTTTAATGAAGATTGTTGGGTGCTTCCTAAGTCACCCAGAGGTTGTAGGGGCCTGGCTACAAACAAGGTATTTGGAGAGCTGAAAGGCAGGAATCATGCAGGATGCGTAGGTGGAGCAGTTGGTTAGGATATAACTGCTTTGAATGACGGCTGCCTGTACTTTCCATCTTCCTGTTACTCATTTGAGATTCCAAGTCCAAGGAGAACAGGTTCTGTGGCCTGAACTTTGGCTGTGACAGGAGTCCAGGAGAGAAGTCTGAGGTCAGCACGTATGATGAGAGGAGTGGCCCTGTAACGACTCACCAATGAGGGAGAGAGAAATACCCGAAAGAAGGGGTGCTGGTGGGTATGTGTGGGCAGAAGCGGTGGATGCTCAGTGGCTAAAACTGACAGTGTCCACTGTAATAGGAGGGTAAAAGTTCCAGGATTAACCTTGAGTGTTTTTGTGAGGTGATGATGGGGAGGAGAAAAACACAGCTCCTCGAAGTCTGAAATCATTCACTCGGTATCGTTTTGGTTCTTCAGGAGAAGTTTGAAATGCAGCATTCTGAAGGTTACCGACAGATCTCAGCCTTGGAGGATGATCTTGCACAGACAAAAGCAATTAAAGACCAATTGCAGAAATATATCAGAGAGCTGGAGCAAGCCAATGATGACCTGGAGAGAGCAAAAAGGTATGTTAGGAAGGAGAAAACCAGTTTGGGAGCTTTTTTTTCCCCCAGTCTTCTCTAAGATTTTTTTTTTTAATAGTTTCTTGTTGAGAATGTATGTATAACAATTCAACACTTTTACATATACAGTTCAGTAATGTTATTACATTCTTCAAGTTATGTAACCATTCTCACCCTCCTTTTCTGAGTTGTTCCTTCCTCATTAACATAAATTTACTGTTCCCTAAGGTTCTATCTGGAAGCTCTGGTAGCATAGTGTCTAAAGCACTTGACTGCTGACCAGAAGGCTGGCGGTTGAAACCCACCAGCCACTCCTCGGAAGGAAGACAGGGCAATCTACTTCCGTAGTGATATTCCCTTGGAAACCCAAGGAGGGGTCGCTATGAGTTGGGGCCGACTTGACGGCACACAACAACAACAACAACAAGGTTCTATCTAATCTTTCGAGTTGCTCTTGTCAGTTTGATACCATAAAGATAGATCTTAAAAGAGCATAATACTCAAGGCAGATGTATTTTACTAGTTAAGCTAAACTTTTGATTGGTTTTAAGAAGACTTCAGGGGATATTTTTGGTTTTAAGATTATCTCAGGGGCATAGTTTCAGGGTGGTTTTGGAGCATGTTGTCTCCAGTTTTTGTCCCTGCTGAGTTCCTGTGCTGAGATGGAGAATTTAGCAAAGAGCAAATAAACCAATGCCTTTATGAAGCTTATATATGGGAAATGAACCAATAGGTAAATTGTCACTCACACTCACTCACTGCCATTGAGTCAGATCTGAATCATAGTGACCTCTCCTTGGGTTTCCGATGCAGTATCACTACGGAAGTAGATTGCCCAACCTTCCTTTTGAGGAGTAGCTGGTGAGTTTGAACCTCCAGCTTTCTGGTTAGCAGTGAAATGCCTTAGGCATTACGTACCAGAGCTCCTATAGGTAAATAAGTGCAAATTAATTGTAACAATAAGCGCTAGAAGTGTGGGGGCATGTAATAGAACATACAAGCTCAGTTCTTGGTGAGAGAATGTCAGGCAAGGCTTCCCAGAGGAAATGCCACTTAGGCTGAGGCCAGATGGATGAATAGGCATTATCTAGGGGACTACATTCTGGACAGAAGGAGAAGCATGTGCTAAGGCCCTAAGGTAGGAGGGAAAGAACATTTTTTTTTTTTTGCTTGCTTGCTTGCTTGCTTATTTATTTA